CCGCCTCCTGGGTTCAGGCAATTCTCCTGCCTCAGCCTCCTGAGTAGCTGGGATTACAGGCACGCGCCACCATGCCCAGCTAATTTTTGTATTTTTAGTAGAGACGGGGTTTCACCATGTTGACCAGGATGGTCTTGATCTCTTGACCTCGTGATCCACCCGCCTCGGCCTCCCAAAGTGCTGGGATTACAGGTTTGAGCCACCGTGCCCGGCCAACAATGGCTTTCTTAGAAGATTGCTGGAAGACTTTTGTTTTTAAAAATCTACTTTGAGAACTACCAGGCTGGGCACAGTGGCACATGCCTGTAATCCTAGCATTTGGGGAGGCCAAGGGGGGCTGATCACTTGAGGTCAGGAGTTTGAGACCAGGCTTGGCAACATGGTGAAATCCTGTCTCTACAAAAAACACAAAAATTAGCTGGGCTTGGTGACACATTCTTATAGTCCAGCTACTCAAGGGGCCGAGGTGGGTAGAGTGCTTGAGCCCCAGAGGAGGTCAGTGCTGCAGTGAGCTGAGATTGTGCCACTGCACTCCAGCCTGGGCTACAGAGCAATCTCCATCTCAAAAAAAAAAAAAAAAGAATATAGTTTGATTTTGACAAATGTATATACCCATGTAATCACCACAACAATCAAGATAAAAAACATTACTATCAGCTGGGTACAGTGGCTCATGCCTGTAATCCCAGCACTTTGGGAGGCAAGGCAGATGGATCACTAGGTCAGAAGTTCAAGACCAGCCTGGCCAAGATGCCCTGTCTCTACTAAAAATACAAAATTAGCTAGGCAAGGTGGCAGGCGCCTGTAATCCCAGCTACTCAGGAGGGTGAGGCAAGATAATTGCTTGAACCCGGGTGGCAGAAGTTGCAGTGAGCCAAGATCACACCACTGCACTCCAGCCTGGGCGATAGAGTGAGACTCCATCTCAAAAAAAAAAAATTACTATCATCCCAAATATCACCCCAAAAGAGTTCACTCATCCCCCTTTGCAGAATCTCTACCCCATTCCAACACCAGATAACCACTTAGCCTTCTATCAGTATAGTTTTGCCTATTCTAAAATGTCATATAAATGAAATCATATAAGCTGGGTACCGTGGCTCACGCCTGTAATCCCAGCACTTTGGGAGGCAGAGGTGGGTGGATCATCTGAGGTCGAGAGTTCAAGACCAGGCTGACTAACATGGTAAAACCTTGTTTCTACTAAAAACATAAAAATTAGCTTGGTGTAGTGGCGGATGCCTGTAATCCCAGCTACTCAGGAGGCTGAGGCAGGAGAATCACTTGAACCCAGGAGGCGGATGTTGCAGTGAGCCGAGATTGTGCCATTGCACATCTCAAAACACAACAACAAATGAATCATATAATAATCTTATACAAGGGGACTTAGAAAAGTTCATGGAAAACACAGGACATGAAAAAACTACACAAGGATTTCAAATTATTTTGCACCAAAATAAACTCATACTAACTTGTTATAACATATCTGAATGGGATTTCATCTGAGGCACTAAGAAGGATAAGACATCAACTTGAAAAGAGCCTCTCTCAGAGCAACGTGAATTCTGCTAAAATCGAAGAACAAACATCAACATTTATGGTGAAGCTTGGATGGATGAATAGTGAAATCATTGGTGCTTTAAGAAAAGTTTATGGGGACAAAGCCCCAAAGAAATGAACGGTTTATAAATAGATAACTTCTTAAGAAGGGACG